ATCATATATGTGCTTGGGTATCACATTGATGTCGTTTGTGTGATCGATCGAAGATGTAACACAGTGGTATCACTATGCATCTTATATATGATTAGGTATCACAATGTATCTTTTGTTTAACAGAGCCAATATTTTTAGGTATCACAGTGGTATTATAGTGGTATCACCGGAGTACGGTGGCCAGAGAGAGAAGAGAGGAGATAGGAGAGTTTTAAAATACCAAAAATATCCTTGCATTAAGATTTTAATTTAAAATTACCAATTTTATAAATTTCCTAATTTATCTATTGATTTGTGGTTAATATTGGTTCTCACAATTACCACAAATAACTCAGTTCTCCCTTGAATAGGCCCCTGTATGTATATATATATATATATATATATATATATAGTATTGTATGTATGTATATATATATATATATATATATATATATTCGCCCGTGAAGTAAATCATCGCATCTACGGTCCAACCAATTGGTGTTCTTGAAGACTTGCTAGTTGATCATGGATCTTAAGAATCTTGTACAAGCACTATATAATCTCCTTGGTGGTAATAAAATTCCTGCTCTCTCTCTTTGATGGACGTACATTGTCATAGTGATAATGGAATCACGTTAAATTCTTTTGTAGGTATTTTGTGAACTTGGCATATACGTAGATTCTAACGTATATTGTTATTATCTATATTTGGGATTGTTTATTTCTGATAAAGTCATTGTGCAACATCTAGATCATTGTTATCTGCATTTGTTGTCAGGTTTTGTTGTATCCTTGAATTATTATTTTAAGGGACCTTAAAGATCATTTGCTAGCGTTTGAATTGTGACAACACCATATCCTAACATCCTCTTCCTGTAGTTTGTTGAGTGGAAAAACAAGAAAAAGAAAGAGAACGGAAAAATTAGAGTGCATGGGAGCAAAAGTGAAAATCATTTTTCACCTAGCATTATGCCATTTTGATCTAGTGGTCCAATTGACAAGAAAATGTGGTTCCATAAAAAACTATAAACTTTTTCATGGATGATTAATCTTTATGTTTGATGATTGGATATAAAGAAGACATGTGAGCAATGATGATTTTTCTTGGAAAATCTCGATCTTTGCTTGAGAATGGGTGCTCATAGCTAGAAATGCAAAAGGACCGATTCCAACTAGTCCATAGTTTGGTCCTTATGGCTCTGGTCCCAATGGCTAAACAAATCTAGTTCAATCCTTAGCCTAGACTGGGACCCATTTGGGTCCAACAATCCTAATTGTTCCTAGTTAATTCCAATCTTGATTTTCTTTTGTTTCTTTTACAAAATGAAATTTAAGAGGTAGTTACTCACCCAACTTTAAAGTCTAAACACTTGTAAAGGATGTTGACCAAGACTAATATAATACTTATCAAACCAAACATCAGGCCTTTGACTAGTCTTTTCGTACCGGTCCTTACCCGGTTTAAGCTCAAAAATTGAGGAGATGGCATTAGGTCCAAAAGACTAAACTAGGCCTGTATTCGGTTCTTGAAGGACCGGTCCTTCTTGGTCCAATCGTCGATCGAGGTTTCAAATTATATGGTTATAAAAAAATAATGTAGTAATGGTTTGTGTTTCCAAAAAATATTTATACAACTTTGTAAATGTACGTTTACATTTATTCTAAACTTGATTATAATATTTTTATGACTTTAAAGCAATTTGAAATGATACCATGTGTGTTATTTGACATTAATAAACATTAAGGTTTCTAATTCAACAAAACACAACTTTTATATGCTACCTACGACCGATGTCAAGGACTTGACGGTGCTCGCACTGATAGAATACACAACATATTTCAAATTTTCAATTTTCATCTTTGATTTCTTTTACGTCTTTTTATTTTATTATGAAACAGATATCGCAAAAAATTTACACTATGAAACGAGTTAAGCGTAAAACCTTTAATAGAAAACATTTTTCGTCAATATATAGTTAACCGTTTTCATTTTGCAAATTCAATGGAATCTTAAAGTCATATAAGCTGAAATCTTAAGTTGACATAGTTTTTAGATACAAAAATGTTGATTGTATACTAGAAGGCAATTATATCTGATATTTAATGATTCATTAAAATTAAGCTCAAAACGAGACCGATTCAAAGATATGAGTCAAAACAACTCGAAATTCTAAAAAAAATTAGATAAATTAATCGATTTAGGAAAAACAAAATAATATTCAAAGCAATGCAACTACGAACCCGATTCAAAGCATGAGACTGGGTTACCATGAAAGGATGCAACTTGTCAATAAACGTCTCGAAAAACTAATGTTATTTTATCAATTAATTAATACTAATTTGCATATGATTAGCAATACTTTTTTCTTAAAAAGATTATCATGATTTTCCAATAACCAATAAAAAAGCTTGAGTGTCGGTTAAATGGTGAAAATATTTTCCAACCCGATTGGTTTGAGCTTGACTTCAAAGGTCAAAAGTACCAAGAGGTCCCAAATTCAAATCTAAGGGGAAATAAAAATCCCCTTAGTGGTCACGGAAGTTCAAATACGGTGACTCCGGGCTATCTGCAAAGCAGCTCGCATATCGGGTTGGATATCCAGGTTAATCAAAAAAAAAATCGAATATAACTATTTGCTTTAATGTATAAATTTGAACTTGTTAGATTGCTCAACCGCGCGTTAAAAAACTTGTGATAACGTATTTGTATAAAGCGCACATGTTGTTGTGTTAAAAGAATACCGAGTTAGAAACGATTTTGGACGTGATAACAGATCTAAAAACACAAATAAATCGTATTTATAATCCACATGGAACAGGATTCGTGTAATATCTCTCAAATATTTACAGAAGATACCAAAAACTAAATCAAAAGATATGAATCAAACTTGCTACTTACATTTTCCAACCCAATTTTCAATCTTTTTTACCTTGGAAAACTTCAATAGCAATCAAGAAACACAGAAATGAACATTGACAGCAAAATCTTCAATTTATTCCTCAGGGATGCTTTGTAAATTGGGCTTCCATGGCTGAGGCTGATGCTGATGCTGCTGCTGCTGCTGATGATGATGATTGAGATCATCATCAAACTCAAATTGATCGCTGGAATCAATCAAACGATCCAAGATCTGATCCACTGGGATGTTGCGAAGATCCTCCACCTTATCCAACAATTCCTCCAGCTTCTTCTTGCTCAACATGATCTTCACTTCTCGGTTCTTGCCATCGCTGGTACCAGAAACAGAAGAATTTGGGGGGTTTTCGTCGCTCAAAAGACTCTGTTGAAGATTGGGGTCAGAGTAATAAACCCATCGATCATTTTCGTCATCGGTTTCAGCCCACACCATTGTTGAAGATCTTGATCCTTTTAAGCAACAATTACCCATGGAGCAAAACGAAGACCGGTGGAGAAGGTGATGAACTCAGTTGTGATTCTGGGTTTGGGTTTGAGGAAAAAATACAGAAAGATTAATGGGGTTGGCTTGTGATGTATATAAATAAAGATTTATGGGAAGGAAAGGACATGGCATGTGATGAGGATGGAGATTGGTTCGTTGACCAAACATAGGGCAACGTGGGTCTCTCTTCCTCCCTCCCCGCTTTGTTTCTCCAAATGTTAATCAAGATTATTATATTAATTTTATTAGTAATTCTTATCCTCCCTCCCTACTTTGTTTATCCGAATGTTAATCAAGATTATTATATTA